CCGGCTTTTTTCTTTTTGCTTATGTGGTGCTGAGGAATCAAACCCAGGGCCTCATGCATGCAAGGCAAGTGCTCTACCACTGAACCACCTTCCCAGCCCATCCATGAGACTCTTATCTCCAAAGAACACCAGAAAACAGAAGTGGCGCTGTGGCTCAAGTGGTAGAGTGCTGGCCTTGAGCTGAAGGACAGTGTCCAGGCCCAGAGTTGAAGCCCCACAACCACCACCACCAAAGAACCTAAATAAATAAACCTGACATTCAGTTAGAACAAAAGGAGCTCTGCAAGGCATTCTGGGACCATTCTGTGTTCCCTGCACTGAGAAATCGCAGGGCCTACAGCTGATGCCCTCACCCTCCAGAGCACTTGCATTGCACTAAGTAGTTTAGTGCCAGTCCTGGGGCTTGAACTCAGGGCCCGGACACTTACTGAGCTTTTGCACTCAAGGCTAGTGCTCTACCACTAGAACCACAGCTCCATTTCTGGCTTTTTGGTGGTTCGTTGAGATAAGAGTCTCACAGACTTTCCTGTCTAGGCTGACTTTGAACCTTGATTCTCAGATCTCGGCCTCTTGATTGGCTAGGATCAGAGGCAACAGAGGTCTCACCGTGTGGCACGGGCTGGCCTGGGATTCTCAATGTCCTTACCTCAGCCTCCTGAGTGCCGGGATTACAGGTGTGAACCGTGGCACCTGACTGTGCCTTTACGTAAAGAACCGTGCTTGAGTCACCCTGTGGCTGGGTGACCAGCTCAGTTTCTGCCGGGCAACGACTTGGTAGAATGACAGAGTGGCAGAGATTGCGCTGGCTCAGTTTACCTGAAAGTTGCTTGGGTATGTCTCTGTGGTGAGCACCCACTGGGGCCCTGGGCCTGTCCCCAAGCTCATCTCTGGGACCCCGTGGCGCCTCAGGGACCAGCAATGGGGTGGCTCTAGACGCCAGAGGCTGAGGTGCTGGGGCTCCAAGGCTGGCCCGTCTAGGCGGGGTGTGGAACAACTGGTTCGGGCCCTGAGCGCCTGCAGGACCGGCGTCCCCTCTAGTCCCTGGTGGGAAAACTTCTGGGCCCCCAGGACCCACTGAGGCTGGTCTGGAAAGCGAGCCGGTGGCTGCCTGTGGAGGGACCGAGGGGCGGCGGGAAGGACGGCCCGTGGATGCTGTGGTCACCAGGCTGTGGGCTGCAGGTCAGGCTGGATCAAGCTCTGCACCGGCTCAACAGCCATTGTCCTTACAGCTCACACTTCCCAACTGTGTGGTTTTCCAAAGACACCTTGTGCTACCCAACGTAACAACCAACCACGGTAGGGACAGCAGGCTGGCTGGCCAGCCCCCAGCCCAGGGGAGGGGCTGTCATCCTCAGCCCTCCCCCACCCCCAAACACCCTAGGAGCGCAGGGTGGTGCTCTGGTTTTCCATTTATTTATTTATATTTGTTGGTCATGGGTCTTGAACTCTGGGCCTGGGTGCTGTCCCTCAGCTCTTCAGCTCAAGGTGAGTGCTCTACCACTTGAGCCACAGCACCACTTCCAGTTTTTTGGTGGTTTACTAGAGATAAGAGTCTCCTATACTTTTGTGCCCGGGCTGGCTTTGAACCCCAATCCTCAGATCTCAAGCCTCCTGAGTAGCTAGGATGACAGGCATGAGCCCCCTGGCAGACGGCTTTCCATTTATTTAAATATCAAAACATTCTGTCTTTGAGGCTGGCCTGAAAGGAGGTCCCAGGCCCTCCACTGAGGGCTCAAGGGTGCTGTCCAGGGCCAGCTGACCGTGCATGCGAGGAAACGCTCCACGCTCTGCCGGGAGGTGTCTGGGTCACGGGAGCCAGGCAGGCTGTGGTCCTGTGGAGTTGAGCCAGGCCAGGAGGGCGGGGCTCCGTGGAAACACCGATCTGTGCCTTGTGCATGGCCCCAGACAGCAGTGGGTCGCCAGCTCCCTGTGGGCCGGGGCTCTTCGGTGGGGAAGGGGCAAGGCCGCCCCGTGGGTGCCAGTCACAGCTCGCTGTGGGTGGCCTTGGCGACGATCACCAGCTTGGACAGCTCCGCTTTGAAGGCTCCAGGCCTGTGAGCCACTGGAGAGGGGGGACAGCACAAGGTCAGGCCAGGTCTGGGAGCCAACGGGGTTGGGGGCTGGGATGCGGGGGGGGGGGGGGGGAAGCACAGTGGGGAATGGGAGACCAAGAGGCAGGGGGGCCGCGTGGGAGCCACGCAGGGTCAGGGTGAGCCAGTGGCCCTTTTTTTTTCCTCCTTTGGGTTGGGACCTGGGGCTTGGTGTGTGGGAAGCAGATGCTCTACCACTTGGACCATGCTGCCAGCTTCTTCTCTGCTTTAGTCATCGTTTTGGATAGGGTTATATTCGGGAGCAGGGAAGTCCCTGAGACGCTTATCTCCAAAAAAAAAAAAAGCAGGAAATGGGAGTTGTGGCTGAAGCAGTAGAGCGCTAGCCTTGGGCCAAACCGAGCTCAGGGACAGTGTCCAGCCCTGAGTTCAAGCTCCAGGACTGGCGTCAAAAGAGAGAGGAGGGAGAGAGCGAGCGCACACAGCGGGGCCCCGCGGGGGCCTGGGGGCCCAGCTCTGCCCCCTCCCCGACCCGATCGTCACCCACCTGCCGTCCTGGTCACCTGGAACTCCTCACTCTTCAGGGGGACGTCGTTCTCCCGCTCAAATGCCGCTTTCGACTGCAAGAATGGGGAGCTGTCGCTGGAGGCCTCATGCGGCTCTGCGCCCGCTCCCGGGGCTCAGGGGGGGAATGCAGGGTCCCTGCTCTCCCCCCCCCCCCCGTCCCGGGCACTCACGTAGGCCATGGCGTACTCGATCTCTGCGCCGCGCACCTCGGCCTGGAACTGGGTGAAGTACAGGTAGGACTTGCCCTGCGGCCTGCGGGAGGGAAGGCGGGGTCAGCAGGCCCCGCCCCGTCATGACCACGCCCCGCCAGGGCCACGCCCCCGGCGCCTGCCCTGGGCCCCGCGCCAGGGCCACCCAAGGACATCAGGACTGGCGGGCGGTGCCCGTGACGAAGGGCGACTGCCCATGAGGATGGGCCTGCTTCTGAGGCTGAGGCACGTTCTGGAACAATCTTTTTGTGTAGTTCTCTCTCTGGGGACGGCGGCCAGGGCCTGGTGTGTGCCCTGCGCTCCACTCCCAGAGGGGCGGCCCCGGGGCTGGAACCCAGGGCCTCAGACTTGATGGGCAGGGCCTCCACCACCTCCAGCCCTCTCTGCACTGGCCGTTCGGGGCTAGGCTGTCCTGGGCCGGTGGGAAGGCAGTCACGCTATTTGCGCTTCTTGTGATGGCTGGGATGACAGGCAGGGAGGAGCCATGCGGCCCAGCTTTTCCGTCCAGATAGGGTGGGCTGAAGGCTTCTTGCCTAGGCTGGTCTGGAACCTCGATCCTCTGGATCACAAGCTCCATGCAGCTGGTATGAGGGGTGCCCAGCTATTGGTTGAGAAGGGGGGTCTGACTTTTCTTCCTGGGGCTGGTCTTGAACTAGGATCCTACCAATCTTTGTCTCCCAAATAGCCAGGATGACAGGAGTCCACCTCCAATTATCTATTTGTTTTAGAAGGCTGAATTTCACATTTTTGAAAAGTTCAAATAACTTGCCACAGAAGCCCTCTGGTGTCCTGGAGACCCGGGCGGGCGCTCCCCTTACCGCACATCTCCTTCCCTAATCGCGGTGCCCAGCCACTTCTCCCCAGCTTCACCGCGGTGGGCCTCAGGCCCTCCGCCCGCCACGGGCCTGCGCTCCAGGAGCTGGGTCCCGTCCGCTCCTTCCTGCCTGCGAGCAGCGCTGGCCGCACAGTGGGCAAGGCCTGCAGCGGCAGAGGCGGGCGTGGGTGCCAGGCGGCTCACCTCCAGATGGTGCAGGTGACGTGCTGGTGGTCCTCGCTGGTGCCCAGGCTCATCTGCCACTGCTGCGGGGAGAGGACGGGCGCAGTCAGCCCTGGCTCTACCCGCACCAGCTCTACCAGTCCACAGAGCGCGTGACCAGGGGCCGGCCAGCGTCTGCTTACGCCTGGCCCGCCAAGTGTTCCCCCTCCCGTTTCCTCTGGTGGCTGTGGTGGGTTGGGGGGGGGGATCACCCACTGTCAACCCTTCTCACGACACGTGCCACTTCTCCCCGGAGCTGGCCCCATCCAGCTGTGAGATGGGAAAAGATGGCCAGGCAGGCTCAGAGGGACGAACACCGCTGCTCCCCGCGCTGGAGGCGGGCGGAGTGCGAGTTACACACAGCCACGCCCACCGCGCCGGCGCCACGCCCACCGCGCCGGCGCCACGCCCACCGCGCCAGCGCTCAGCTTTTACCATGGCCTCAGTGGCTCTGCACGCGGCACCAGGCAGGTCCCCAGGAACCCCTCCCCCCGCCCCACCCAGCTCCAGTTCCCAGGCCTCTCAGCAACAAAACAGATTTCAGATCCCCCCCCCCAGCCCACCTCCTGTGAAATATGGCAGGATGGTTTCTTTAGGGGTTTTTCAAGATGAATCAAATAAGTAACCTAGGATGATGGCCTGGAACTCCGCCTCCTCCTGCCTCAACCTCCCTTGTGCTGGAATTTCAGGCATCCTCAATGTTGTCCAAGAGACCCTGTCTCCTCATGAGCAGTCACCTGTTCCCTCCCCAGCCTCAGTCTCCTTCCTGGGCCTGGATCCTTCTGTTCTGGAAGTTTTCTATCAATGGAGGCACACATTTGTGAGGCCTTTGGTGTCTGCTTCTCTCATTCAACAAGGTGATCCCAGGGTCTTTCTATGTGGTGGCATGGGTCACAGCCTTGTCCTGTTCCTGGCTGAGTAATATTCTATTGTACAAATATAGGCCATGTCATTGATTCCTTCATGGAGGAGAGAACAGCCCAGAGGGCAACATGACCTCAGCCCTCCTAATGCAAAGGCCTGAATCCTATCAACAGCAAGAACAAGTGTTCACACTTCCCAGAGTGTCAGAGTGGCCAGGGAACTGGGACTTTAGCTACTGGGGACACTGAACTCTGAGATTGTTTCTTTGTCAGTCATGGGGCTTGAACTCTGGGCCTGGGCGCTGTCCCTCAGCTCTTCAGGTCAAGGCTGGTGCTCTACCACTTGAGCCACAGCGCCACTTCCGGTTTTCTGGTGGTTCATTGGAGATAAGAGTCTCACAGACTTTCTTGCCTGGGCTGACTTTGAACTGCAATCTTCAGATCTCAGCTTCCTGAGTAGCTAGGATGACAAGTGTGAGCCACCAGTACCTGGCAGAACCCTGAGATTATAATGGGCATTTTTGTGTGTGTGTGTGTACGTGTGTATGTGCAGTACCAGGGCTTGAACTGAGGGCCTCACACTCACACTCCTTTCTTGCTCACAGTTGGTATGCTACCATTGTAGTCACGCCTCCAGTTTGACTTTTTGCTGATTAATTGACTAGGCAGACTTTGATTCATCCTCCAGATCTCACCCTCCTGAGCAGTTAGGATTAGAGGCATGAGCCACCAGCACCTGGCAGCAGGCTCTTTTTATTAGCCAGGCAAGAACAGCTCAAAGTGTGAAAGCTGAGGCCCAACTCCACCGTCCCCTGGACAGTCAAGGTGGGGTTTTGAATGACTTACCTCATTGGTCCCTCCTTGAGAAGCGTAGGTGAATGTGCAGGTGAATTTGTCCTGGAGAAGAGAAGGCAGAAAAGAGTTTGGTAGGAGCTAACTGCTGGTCTCTGGGTACCACAATCATGGATGGACACAGTTTGCTCTGGCCTTTGAGGCCTGCTATACCCTGTCAACCTCCTTTCCTCTATGGGAGCAGAACAATCGGAGTGGCCAAGTGGCCAACCTCCTCCACTCCTGCTAGGGACACAGGCACTGTGAGAGTGACCGGCTGGACGAGGGGAAACCTTCTGAGCTTCTACTGCCTGGTCTGTATGAGCTGCCTAAGCAATGGACATAATTAAGCCCTATAAATTGTATCCTTTATTTTTTTTTGGGGGGGGGGTGTCTGTCGTGAGGCCTGGGCCTGGGCGCTGTCCCTCAGCTCTTCAGCTCAAGGCAAGCGTTCTACCACTTGAGCCACAGTGCCACTTCTGGTTTTCTGAGTGGTTTATCACAGACTTTCCTGCCCGGGCTGGCTTTGAACTGCGATCCTCAGATCTCAGCCTCCTGAGTAGCCAGGATGATAGGCGTGAGCCATCGTGCCTGGCCTATGCTCCTTTTTTTGTCTAGTCTTGGTCCTTGAACTCAGGGCCTGGGCGCTGACCCTGAGCTCTTTCAGCTCAAGGTGAGCGCTCTACCATTTGAGCCACAGCACCACTTCCGGTTTTCTGGTAGTTAACTGGAGATGAGAGTCTCAAGGACTTTCCTGCCCGGGCTGGCTTTGAATCTCGATCCTCAGATCTCAGCCTCCAGAGTAGCTAGAATTAGAGGCACCGGTGCCTGGTTTGCAAGTTGTGTCTTTTTCTTCTTCTTCTTTTTGTACTCAGGGCCTGGGTGCTGTCCCTGGGGCTTTTCCTCTCCAGGCTGGTGCGCTGCCACTTGACTCCCAGCTCCACTCCCAGCTTTTTGCTGGCTGACTGGAGAGGGGCTGGAGGGATGTAGTCTCCCGGGCTCTTCTGCACAGGGTGGCTGGGCACCCACGATCGGCTCAGATCTCCGCTTGGACATGGCCAGCTGTGCCTGCGGAGCGTGCTCCCCCGGCCGCCTGGGCCCGGCTGGTCGCCGGCTGGTTCCCG